TAGTAGATGACGAGCTTCGGTAGTTAATGACACACAACAAGTCTCCTAAATAAAATAGATTGAGAGTAGGAGAAAATTCTAAATAAATGTAAATACCACTAGCACAAATCACGATGGACTCTACTATTGCAACAGTGCTTCCTTTTTCTTTAATAGTGATTTTCAAAAGTTATGCAATATAAATTACTCATTCTGATTCTACAATGATTCTGAATTGTGAAATTTTATGGTGTGAATTAGATTCAGTATGCGACTGTATGCATCAAAACATCCAGTAAATTGTTAATAAAACATTCTACACTGTAAGATGCGAAAGTTTGATTTTATGTAGATGAAACAAATACTAAACAACATAACAGAAGGTTGGCTCTGATACCAATTGTTATAATTAAATTAATTTTAATTTAGAAAGAAGAATACCTTCTGCCATGATGTTCAAGCCTTTGAATCTTTATCCTTGAATGATCAAATCTTGAATGTATAAAGAAGCCCACTCGCAGAACACTTTTACAGAACCATACGAGAAAAGTGAAAGGGACAGAGTTTCAAGCCTATTCTATGCACCAAACAATGTCTATGTTTGATGGCTATCACAGACATATTTATAGATAGGCTTGGACCCATATTCAAGTGTAGCTCTTTATAACTTCCCACCATCAGGGAAGTTATAAAGTCCCATGAAACCACCATATGGGATATTAAACAGACATCAGTTACCCATTAACCATTAAACTAGTTAATTAGTCATTAAACCAATTAATTAGTCATTAAACCAATTAAATATATATAATAAATATATATAATATAAATAAATAAATAAATAAAACAGGTGGTATATGGGCCACTTTATGGATATTCTTACATTTTTGTCTCAGAAAATTGCATTACGATATTGCACGAAGGGAACATATTGCAAGTTCTGAGAATTCTATTGAAAATTAAAAAAGTTATAAGAACATATTGCAAGAGGGGAAAAAAGAAGAAAATCACATATTGATCTTCTAATGACCAGGAGAATTTATAAGATTTTGAATTTCAGAGTGGCATAACCATTAGGTTACCAATAGATATGGTTTAAATAGCATGGGTTTTCTTTAGGCTTGGTGGGAGTAGTAGTTTACATCAAATGGATGTTGCATACCCATTGGGATTATATTTTCTTGAAATTCATGTCTTCAAATTCAAATTCTTATTTTTCATTTTTTTGTATTGTTTCACATAGTAATTTTTGCCTTAAATGAGTGTATGGGTTATGTGGGACATTTGTCAGATGCATGATTATTTCGATGAAGATGAAAATAGTATCAAAAGCTTTGAGTTATAGAATGGAGCCAAATTGCCTTATTCCTATTAAATTGAAAAAGAGCAATGGATTTTAAATTTATACAATATAGGATATTAGAATAATATTTGCCTATTAATCCAGAAGTATGAGGTTGTAATATGAGTTCAAACTATAGAAACAACAAGAACTTTTTAATAAACTTGGATTTGGGTGTGTTTGACTTCCATCTAACTTTCCCCAAGTGGACTTCAAACTAATTTTAGACACAAAGTAATAGAATAAAAATGAAAAAGAGACAAAGACCCACGACATAGCTTAATCTTATGCTCAGTTTTTTTTCATTAGTTAGTAAGACAATTATTTAGAACATTACTGTGCAAAATTGATAATGTTCTTAATTTTAAAAATTGAGAAAAACTGATAATATTCTTAGTTTACTAAATATGACTTACTGGTTCAAAATTTTTTAAATAGGACCTAAGCTACCATAACATTTGTAAATAAGACTTTTACGTAATTAACTCCTTTTTTTTTATTATTTAAAACTCCTATAATTTTTCAATTTAAATATTTAATTTGCCTTCTTTTGGGGCTTATTATAATTTTTCAAATGACATGGGAAATCAGTTTAAATTACCCCAAAAAAAAAAAATTATAGTTTACAAAATAAAAATAAAATTAAGATCCTTTTTGTATTTATGTGAATTGTAGCTTGATTCATATAATATATATATATATATATATATTTTATCAATCGATAGAAAATAAATTATAAATATTATGAGAACTGTGCTAAGTTAAAAAGGAAAAACTTACATGGAGAGAGTCAAAACCATGCCCATGCAAACGGGTTAGAAATGTTGCTTATAAGATTCAACACATAGATTACAGTAAAAGGGATAGGTTTTTTTCTAGTGTATTGGTTGCATGAGACTTATGAATCCCACAAGTGATGTGAGATTTATAAACCTCTCACAATTAATACATTCGATTACCCCATACAGTGAAGAGAAATTTAGTTTATACTAAAAAAAACAAAACAAAAGACATAAAACAATCAAAGAGCATCCACTTAAAACCAAAATTCATTTTCACACTAATCCCACACATGAAGAAACCAAACTTAGTCTCTAAGGTTTTTATTATGTAGCTTTCTCAAAACAATCAATCTTATATATATATATATATATATATACACGCCTAATAAAACTATTTTTTCAATGAATTTGTAAATTTTAGATTGTTGTTGGGGTCCATTTGTCTTATGTTTGGAATTTCTGCAATTATTGAAAATCGCCTAATAATCCACCCAAGTCATTTTCCTTGGATAATTTTGGCATAAATTTGATAGGTGACATCCTAGCAATTTCACTAATTAAAAACATTCCAATTAATTAAGCAAGTTTATGCCGACCCAAATAAATTGTATATATATTTTTTTATTAAAATATATCACTACAATAAAGTATATAACCAAAAAAAAAAAAAACTATCACAAGAGTAAAATCCTTGACATCTTAATATGGTGCAAGAATTCTTACCACTTATGTCATGTTATGGATGCAAATTGTAACGCCTTCAAAATAATATAAATCAATCATTCATAAGATCTATAGACATAATAGAAATGTTATATTTTAATTCATCAGTCTTCTTTACAAAAGATATCACATGCATTACATTTTCATAAATGTTTATCTTGAAACTATAGCATGTGATTCTAACTGATAACAACAAAATAAATTCCCTACGGGTTTACATCTTTCCAAGAGATAACTTGGTTACAACAAAAGAGAGTCATAAGCTCTTTACAATTAAAGCCCTCGGCTTGAAAGAAAACACATAAACATAAAGATAAAGATAAACAAAAGTAGAGCCTTCACCCCCGTCCTCCTAAGCTATGTCCTTGGAGGCGGCATATCGCCTGTACCTGAAAATGGTTTCCCAAGTAGGATGAGCCAAAACCCAGTAAAGATATGCTAATACAATGTATGAAGTTTAACTAAGATATATGCATCAGTTAAATGTTTAACCTTTACGAATAATTCACATACTTTCCATGATCATGCGATATTGATATTGACATTTCAATCTGTTTCCATTCATTCCCTTCCAATCAATTCATGAGTATAGATCATTTTTATCAAATCATACTAAATTGAGACTACAACTCAATGATTCACCATTTAACATACATTCATCACTTCAACACTTTTATCTTTGCCATTTTACGGAATTCTCATCCGAGGGAACCGGCACCCATATACACAAGGTTTCGGGACTTTCACCCTGGATACTCCGGCCAACTTAATTTTAAATGCAGTCCATCCCCTATCTCCTCCCAAACAAGATACATATACAATGTATTTAAAGACGTCGTCATATGCAATGACCAACCAAATGACTTTATTAATGGTTTAATCAATCGTCATATTCAATGACATAAATTCACATGATTAGTTTCAATTCACCTAAACCTCATGCAGTTTCTACAACAATCACAGCTATCTTCTACCGATAGCCCAAAACAAATATTTCTAAACAGATATACTATTTATCAACAAATAAACTATCAAATTTTTCCATAGGTGTGTGATTTATCAAATCTAACTACACCATTCAATCACAAATCCTTCCAATTTCATATCTCCCATATCAATTCCATTATTTATTCAAAATAATAATTCAATCCAAGCTAGGACAAATTTCCCCCTATTCCAAGATAACAACCCATATGCCCAAATTTCACCATTTTAACATTTGGGAAACTCATACACAAAGCCCCATGGTTATTTCATAGACTAACATGGAAACCCCTCTTTTAATTTAGAACCCAAACCCTAACTTCACCCAAATCACACTCAAATCCCTCCATATATTCAAAATGACAAATACCTAGGTTAAACAACATAACAAGGTGTAGAATATCCCTACCTCAAAGCAAGGAGACCAAAGGAGATGATGGAGACACTTCAA